GCATATTTTTTTAAAAAAAAATGAATTAAAAAATAAATAACTAAAATAAAAAAAACAAGTAACATAGTAAAAAAATCACCTTTCAGGTAACATATGTTATGAGATTTGCTTAAAAAGTTCACTAATCTTTTTTAGTTAATAGATAACTAGTTTTTTTAATTTTTTTAAATTAATTTTTTTACCAAACTTCATTTTTTTATTTTTAGATGCTATTTTTTTTTGAAGAAAAGAGGTCGATTATCGGATTATAGTGTAGAGAGAGAATTTATGTGGCAACAATTATGGCCACAAAAACTATTTATTTTTGTATTAAAATAATCCATAAGATGAGTGGAGTTAAGAATACATGTTTTTTTTAATCTTGAAATAGCCTAAAACATATATTTGAGTTCCAAAATTTTTTTTGTTTTGGGTTAATTATGAGTTTTAAGGTGATTTTTTTTTTAATGTTTTTCCAGGTCATGTATTGTTTTAATAAGATTTCAATAGTATTTTTTAGATGTTTGGATAAAATATGGTTTGAGAACAATTTTTTGAGTTAGAAAAACAAAAAACCCAATTTTTCTAGCCATTATAGTAGTTTTATTCTAAGTTTTTTGCACTTATGTTTTGATTATATCCCTTCTCAATGGTTTTTTTGGTTTATTTAGTTTCTTTTAAATAGAAATTATTTTTTAATTATATTGAGTGAATATATTTTTTTATGAGGTTAATGTGATACATCTATAATTTATATAGATTAAATTTATTGTTAAAAATAAAAAAATTATTTTTTTACAATATTTTTAATATGTGAAAGTAGAAATTATTTCCTTTTATTTTATTTAATAGATTTTACATGTATGTTGATTTTTGTTACAAATTAATTTTAATAAATAAATTCATTAAACACAACCAGGTAAATGACTTATATTATGATATTAAATATCTTGATTTATATTTATATTTATTTTTTATTTTTTTTAATTATATTTTTATTTATCATTAATGACTTTTTTTATTTACAAAATAGTGTGTGATTGATTTAATTAGATGCCTGTATAAATTTTTTCAATTTACATTTAAAACCTTTTTTTAAAAAAATATGTTGAAAAATTCTACATGTTCAATTTTGTTTATGATATACAGGTGTTTTCAATTTGATTTTTATTTTTTTTATTATTTATATTTTGTTTGATTTTTTTATAGAAATTTTTTTATTTTTTGATTTTACCCTTCAATCCAAGTTATTTATGTGTTGTTTATTAGTCCTTATCCTTTTGAATTTTTCTTTTTATTAATGTTTTTTTCTTTTTAATTTGACTCTCAAAATAAAAATTCATTGTTGCCCTTTAATTTATTTTTTCTTTTTATTTTAACCCTCATTCTTTTAATTGTTATTTTTTTTATCTAACTTTTTATTTTTTTTAAATCATCCTTCAACATTTCATTTTCTATGGATTGGACTTCATGATAATTTTTACATGTAGTGCTTTCGGTCTGATGACCTGAGTTATATTATGGTTATTTTTAATTTATTTTTCTATTGAATTATCTCGAATTCATGATCCAGAGAACAAATTTATTAAGTTAATCTAGACTAGTTCTCTCTTTAATGTCTAGATTACATATCTACTATGCTGGCTTAATTTTTTTATTAAATTATCTTAAACTTATAATTTTTAGAAAGCAAATTTATTAAGTTAATCTAAATTAACTTACTCTTTAATGTCTAAATTATATAATTACTATGCTGGCTCATATTAACTTATACTATTTTTTTTTTAATTCAATTTTGGTTAAAAATTAAAATAATATTATCTATTTACTTTTTAATGAAGTTTTTTTTCCCGTGTGTTATCGTAATGATACATATATATATATATATATATATATATATATATATATATACTATTGATGTTTATTTTTATTTTTTATAATATAATTCAAATAAAACTAGTTTTAGGATTATAGACCAAGTTATTATTTTGTTTAAAAAAATATATTTACAAAACCAAAATATTTTATTTAAATTGTTTTTAACTAAACAGCAAAACAGGTCCACTAGTCTAGTCTTATTCTAAAGGCAGGGAGGGCCATAAGGTATTCTTAGGGGTCTGGCATGGGACGAAGGCTGCGGGAAGTTGAAAACGGGTTGGACTCGAAGGTGGTGTTGGACTTGCTTCCGACTCTGTTCTGTTGGTCCCTGTTCTCATAGATCCTTCTTCTGTTAAGACAATTATGGCATTGCAATAAATCTCTATAAATTAATATTTTCGAATAATGAAAACTCATTACTTATTCAAGATATTATTTAAATATCAAACATAAATAAATTTTTTTTTTAATAAAGATTATACTGTATTTATTCACTGCCCGTAGGAATCGCTCATTTTCAGAAAGCTCCAGCTAGGTCTCAGAGAGAATAAATTAATTATTTTAAATTAAATTAATGATTTAAAAGAATGTTTTAAACAATTATTTTATTAATTCCAAGTCACATAAATCAAGGCTAAAACTATTTTACGATTAATTAAAAATCACCAATAAATTATTAATAAAATTAAATACTTATCATTTTAAAAAAATAAACGAATATCATGTGATTGAAAAATAACCAGAAAGAATTAATGGATATTTCATAGAAGTAGTTGATTAGCACAATCAAATAATTGGTGTCCCAAAATGAAAAATAAAATAAAATTCATGTACTCAATCAAGAAAAATTAAAAATTGATGTACCAATATTGTAATTTTCTTTTATTAAAGGTCAAAGCACATGTCAGCAAAATCATAGCAAGCAACCTGCTTGGATGGAAGTACTCGATGGAAATTTTAAAAAGCTGGAAAAATAGTAAGCTCCATTGGAAAAATAGTAAGGTTATTGTATCAAGTGTAATCATTATATATTATAAATATAAATATTTAAATTAAATAAATAACTCAAAGGATATATTTTCTTATTAATTAATACTTTAAAAGACATGGGAAAGTAGCTTCCACCATGCTTTTTAACTTTCTTTATTATTAATATATTATATTATTATAATTATAATTATTATATTATATGATATTATTCTATTATATTATAACATATCCTAGAAGGTACTGTAGCTTTTTTTTTATTTTTCTTTTAATGAATTATTTTTGTTTAATTTAATTTGTTAATGTTAATTTTTTTAATTTTATTATCAGACTTTTATGACATAGATCTTGAATTTGATGGGTTAACCTGGTTTGACAATTTAACCTAATTTTTTTTTAATTAATTTTTTTGTTTAGTTTAGTTTGTTAATGTTAAATTTCTTTTTATTTAATTATCAAACTTTTATGACACGTATCCCGAGCTTGACAAGTTAACTTGATTTGACGAGTTAAACAAGTGAATTCTAGGTAAATCTGTCAACTTTTTTATTTAGTTATCAAACTTTCATGATGCGGATCCTAGGTTTGACGGGTTAACCTGATTTGAAGGGTTAACCCATTTAATTTAGATTTTTTTTTTCTTTCTATTGGTTTTTTTCTTTGTTATTTTTTAATTAATCTATTTAATTATCACATTTTTATGACACAATCTTATAGCCAGACCTATATTCAACGCTCTTGGGTTTGGTGTTGCAGCCATATTCACTTAAACTGATGTCATGTAACAGAAAGACCTAACACTCTTATATCTTAGTCTTTTTTAATATTTTGTATGCAAAAAAAAAAATAAAAATAATTTATGGTGCATGCCTTTGTTTTTTTTTTAAGTCTTTTATTGTGAACTGCACGGTGCAGTCCATAATAAAAAAGCTTATGCCTTTAGTTTAATTTTTTTTTTATCTATAGTTTCTTAATATCAGGCTTTCATGACACAAATTACAAGTTTGATGGTTTAATCTAATTGATTCAGATTTTTTTATTTTTCTTCATTAATTTTTTTTCTTCCTATAGGTTTTTTCCTCTTTGTTTTTTTCTTTTTAATTATTTTTTTAATTTAGTTCATTAATATTAAATCTTTTTTTTATTTAGTTATTACACTTTCATGACACGAATCCCAGGTTATGCAAGATTAATGTTATTATTAATATTATAAATATTACTTTTAGATCAGGCGTTGCAGTCAAATCTAAAATTTTTGGGTATAACTTTACAGAAAAACTTAATATTTTTAAATTTTAGTATTTTTTTAACATTTTTTATATAAAAAAATTGACATGCAGCATTTTAGAGGTCATGTAACTAGTAAGCTATTATACAATGGGAAGTTCATCCATGTAAAAATCTTGAAGAGGTTTTCAACGCAGAATTATTTTTATTTCTTACATTCAACACAAATTATTTCAACATCTTGCACATCCAATATTTCTTTTTCTTCTTCTTTTTTTTATTTTAAAAAAAGTGTTTTAAGATTATGTTGTTATTTCTTACATTCAACACAAATTATTTCAACATCTTGCACATCCAATATTTCTTCTTCTTCTTCTTTTTTTTTATTTTATTTTAAAAAAAGTGTTTTAAGATTATGTTGTTCATTAATTGAGCTCGTTTGATCAAATTGAGATTTGGTCCACTCATAACTCATCTCTTAATCCATTATTTTTTTTGAAAAATAAAATTTAGTAAAACATATTTTTAATTTTTTAATACCTTTTAACTTAAAATTGAATATTTTTTTAGTATTTTCTAATAGTTTTGATATACAAATATTAAAAATAAAAATATTATTTTAATATATTAAAAAAATACTTTAAAAAATAACTTTTACTACACCTCCAAATATTGTTATAATAGGTCATAAAATCTATAGAATCTCCATATATTAGTTGGACTGTATTTTTAAATTATTATACTTATTCATTTATTTTTAAAATTAATAAATATAAAATTAATAATATATTTTCATATATTTTCAAATAAAAAATAATTTGAAAAAAACCATCTGTTATACCTCCAGACAGCATGGTACTGGGTCATAAAATCTATAGAATCCCCTTGCGAATATTGGAAATCCAATCTATGGCTTACGTAAGATTTCACAACAGACAGCACATTGATAAACCGAGTCCAAGGCCGCAATAACCTCATGGCAGTTACAGCAAACCCTCTAATATTTTTTTAAAATTTTTTATCTGCTGAAATATTGTTATTTCAACATGTTTAAAGCTTGAAATATTCAAAAGCAGGGCCCGTTTTTGTTTCTGCTAGAGAAGGAAAGGAGAGTTTGTGGGTGCTAAAGCTCAGAATACTGCGAAAATGGCTGGCACTGGGAAAAAAGTAATGGCATTGGGCATGGATAATAACGAACCTAGCTTCTACGCGCTGCAGTGGACCCTTGATCATTTCTTTGTTCCATTTGGTCAGGACCCTCCATTCAAGCTCCTAATTATCCATGCTCAACCCCGTCTCGCTTCTGTAGTAGGATTCACCGGACCAGGTATTACTTCAGTAGCGTTTTGAATTTATGAAAAACAGGGAAAGAGACTGATATGGTGTTGATTTTTGTATGATTTTTACTATTAATTAGTTAAATTCTTTTAATAATGCAGGATTGGTTGATGTTATACCAATCATGGAGGCAGATTCCAAGAAAAGAGCCCAAAATGTTGTAGACAAGGCCAGAGAAGTCTGCAACAATAAAGGGGTAATGGTTTGTTGAGCATAGTGTGCTTGATATGCCCTTTTCTTTTCTTTTGTAATTTACGTTGTTTCTGCAAGGACATTTGAAACGATACATAAAAGATTAACATGGCTAGCTCCTGCTGGCTGGGTGATGATGTAGTTTATGTTTTGTTGAAGATAGAGGGGAGGAATTGGGATCTCTTATCGCTTGATTAAGATCATATTCAATCCAGTATTGATTTAATAGGTGGTTTTATGGTTTGATTTAGAATTTTTGAAATATATCCTGAAAAACTATGAAGTTTTTAAATTAAAATAAATGAATTGTTCATCTTTAGTGTCCTTCTAGATATGCAGACGCGGCTACGGCGCATGATATTTGCTTACACCGCATTCATGTCCATGTTCCCAGGCGGATCCTTAAACTAATCCGCCAATCATTCAAAATTTACAATTGTTCTCAAGCATGTTTTACATCAACAACATCAACATTTTATATAATACACATGTTAATTAAGTACCGGTCTTGAATTTATTATTTCAGAACCAAAGAAAAAACCACATTTAAGCGATTAATTTGCAGGTGAGTGATGTGGTAGTGGAAGTGATTGAGGGTGATGCTAGGAATGTCATGTGCGATGCTGTAGATAGACACCACGCATCCATGCTGGTGGTGGGCAGTCATAATTATGGAGCTGTCAAAAGGTACAGCAAAGAGCTAACCCTAATTCCATTGCAAACTGAATCTGCCCGAGCCAGTTCTATGATCTTAAACTGAATCTGCCCGAACCAGTTCTATGATCTTTGGAATGTACAAACATCCTTGTCAGTGTTGTATTCTGACAGGAAATATTAACCATGTTTCAGGGCACTTCTGGGCAGTGTTAGTGACCATTGTGCTCATAACGCACCCTGCTCTGTGTTGATTGTGAAGCAACCTAAACACTAGGAGGATATTTCCATCTACTCCGGGATAATAATTTAACCAAAGAACTGTAATGTTCCTTAATTAGTATTGGTTCTCTTGGCATTGAATTCTTATGATTCATATTTTATTTGCATTTGAAGTTGATGCTTTGCGAATGGATGGCTGAGTGTATCGATTTGCATGCTCTAATGGCATCACACCAGGTTCCTGAAGTAGAAGATGGCAAGGAAAAAAAAAGAGCCAGACTCTCCGAAGTTTGAACTGTTAATATAACGAAAGAATAATGTTTTAATCTTCAGAATACATTTTTTTTTTAATATTTAAACCTCGTTGGTTAATTTGGAAGGGATATCATGCAAGTCAGAACATGCTTTGCTTGTGTGGTTACGTGGTTTTGTAAATCTACATCCATATTTTAATTATTGACCATATTTGAGTACTGTAATATTTTATTAGTTTTACTTATTAGTTTTATTAGTCTTTGGTGAATTAATACCACGTAATTCATCACTTGAAGATATTCTTATTTCAAGATTTTTTTCTCGGTAAGAATTGATATAATCATATTATTCAATAGTTTCACCCATATTTACCTAATATTTTGTCCATGTTTTATATGTAAAATGCCTTGATATTCTTTGTTTTATGTTTTGAAGGCACTTTTGGATGAAAAATACAAAAAAGAGTAAATTAGAGATAATTGGCAGATTTGATGTTCAGTCGATGTTTTGTGCAGAGCGTGATTTCTAGAGATCAAAATGAAGTGATTCCAGTGG